ACTCTCCGTCCATTGTTGTAGATGCTTGCGGTGCGGTTCACCCAGTTGATCTCGGGGTTGAATTTTTTCAGGAAGTCTCGCCCGAAGATCAAGTCAAGCCCTTTGATGTTGGTGATGGGGAGTGCAGGTCTCCAGCGCAGTGGTCCAATTTGTAGGTGTAGCACTGCTTCGCCGTGTACTGGTAACTTGCTACCATCCACCATCGTTGCAGAGAATCCTGAAGGCTTGTACTCTTCCCGAAGTCGGTCGATCACTGCCTTGTCGCAGACGGTGTGTGATGCTCCGCTGTCCACGAGTGCTTGGAGGCGTCGTCCTTTGCAGATGACCTCGAGCACGAGGGGCAGTCGTTGCTCGGAGTACCCAAAGATAGTTTCATTGATTGGGTCATAGGGTACATCCCAATATTCCGTACACACCTTTGTGTTGCTGTCTACTCCTGAGCTGGCAGCTGGCCGAGGCTGCTTGGAGAACGGCTCTTCTCCAGGGCCCGGAGTTTCCCTGACGACTGTGCGCGTCACTGATGCCGAAGAAATGGATGCATCCGTAGGAGGAGTTTGGGGTTTGTGCAGCTTCTTGTAGACCCCCAGCTTCCTCTTGAGCTGCTTCAGCTCCACCGACGTCTTCCCTGGGGAGCGGGTAGTCGTTGTGGGCTGGTGTCGGGAGAGGACATTGACTCCGTGGAAAGGTCGGCTTCTTTCCACACTCCTTAATTTGGTCCCCAAGTTCTCCGGTACCGGTATAATCTCCACAGCTGTCTGCTTCTTTTGGAGTCCCTCCCGAAATTTCTCCAAGGCTCTAGCTCCTCGAAAATCATATGTTTTCATTAAAGCATCTTTATAAGATAACTTTAACGAATTCTTATAATTTCTTGGGTCTTCAAGGAGTTTCCCTGTCTCGGCAGAGTCTTTTTTCGCGGAGTCGTATTTTTCCTCGGCGATTTTCCCTGGCGAAGACTGGTCGTGGGGTGGAGATTTTCCCCCATCATTTCCTCCTTCTCGCGTCGACTCAGCTTCGTCGAACTTGATTTTCCCGGAATTCCGCGGCCGTTTTCGGATCTTTTTATTTTCGCCAGCTAGATCCGCAATCACTGGCGACTCCCGTTTTTTGTCTTCGGATTGGCCGAAAGATTTCCGCCATTATTGCGTGTCCGATACTCTGCGCGTGCGGCCTTCACTTTGTTGCAGTCGAAGATTCGGTGACCCGGCACCCCGCAAAAATCACACGTGTAGTTGGTGTTTTTCGGACGTGGCCGCCCCTCGAATCTGTCGACTTCCATCGGGTCGGCGAACGTGGGGTGAGCCGAGCGGTCGCCCTGTCGCGTACTGCCGACGTGCGTCCGTCGTGCTCCAGCGTTGACCATGTCGAAGCGCTCCGCTGCCGAAACGACGTCACTGTAGCTCGCGTAGTTTGACGCTGCGACTTGTCGTTTGACTTCGGTCTTCAGCCCGGCGAGGTACGATTGTACTTTTTCCCCTTCGATCAGGTCGGGAATGCGGTTATAAAATTCCTCCATCTGCTGCGTGTACTACGCTACACTCCCGAACTGTCGGTGTGGATGAATTTTTTCCCGGGCAAGGAAACTCGAATTTATCGGTTCGAAGCGTTTCAGCAGGTCGGCGCGGAACTGCTGCCACGTGGCTTCACCGTGGATGACAGTACTGTTGCCGCCAATCCACTTGAGTGCCGGCCCTCGCATCAGTGTCGCCGCGAGTCGTACACGTTGACCGTCCCAGACTGGCGAGCTCCATCCGACGGCTGCGAAGTAGATCTCCATCCCGGCGATCCATCTGCGGGCGTCGGAGTTTCGATCGCTCGGATCGAACGGCTCAGGTGGGCGCGGTTTCGGAGCCTCGAGAAACTGGTGCCACTGCTGCGTCGTCACCGTTGTCGTCTCGTGTTGCGCTCCGGCGAGTCGAGTTACTCGCTCGAATTGGTTTCGCCACGCTTCGCGATCCGCTCGCATCTCCTCCTGAAGGGCTGCGATGCGCGCGAAGAGCTGCTGGGTAACCTCGGCGTTGTCGAAGGTTGCCATCCTGTTCAAAACACGCACGGAGGGGGTAATTCGAAAATCGCGGAGCTGGTGCTTACCAGAATCAGCGTCGAATTGGTCGCCCCCGGCGGTTTTTCGAGGCAGGATCCCCGCTGCTGCTGCTTAGCTGAGCGCGGCCGAGTGAGAAAAGCTCTGATTACCAAGTGTCACAGGATCGAATGTGTCGAGGAAAGGTTGCACTATCGATCAGTACAAGGCGCTTTTATACTTCCAGAGTACATCAGGTAACCAGGTTTATCTTATCCTAAGGAAATAGACCCTTCTAGAAGATAGAATCACCCTGCGTATAGCCACGCGAGGCTATTGGCTTTAAGGGATTACGGCAGGATTACGCTAGATATAGCGCACCAATACATCCCAAGCCTGGTCGGTGATATACTTATAATAGCAGGATAAACCAAAGGTTAATGGAAAAGGAAGAATAGGAAACCAAATGAGATGCGGTAAAAAGAGAAATGAAAAGGGAAATAAGAAAAGGCCAAGTGGTGTAACGGGGTCGTACTCTCACAAGGGGCTTCAGTCAGCGTGAGGGGGTGGACTTCTTTCAAACCTTCGCCCTGACCTCGAAGATGACTACTCTTCGGGCGCTGCTACACGTAGCAGCACAGCGTGACTACGAGTTACACTCTCTTGACTTTTCCACTACGTTTCTTCAGGGCAGTCTACACGAGCAGGTCTACCTGCGCTGCCCTCAGGGCTTTACTGGTACCTTCCCTCCTGGGACCCAGTGGCTCCTGCAGCGCCCAGTCTACGGCCTGCGACAGACGCCCTGTGAGTGGCACGACACGGTACATGCTAGCCTAGCTGACCTGCGGTTCTTTCTGTCCTTGTCAGACCCCTCGCTCTTCGTTTGTGCTGGCCAGACACAGTTCTACATCCTTGTTTATGTAGACGACCTGGTCTTTGCTACTGCTGACAGGGACGCGCTGGCCTCCATGAAGGCCGAGCTTCTGAAGAGACACACCTGCACTGACCTAGGAGAACTGCGCTGCTACCTTGGCATGCAGATCTCCAAGGACAGAGCAGCGTGCACCATCACTCGCTCACAGTCACACTTGGTGCGCCAGGTCCTTAAGAGGTTCGGTCTTCAGTTCTCCTCCGCACAGCCCACACCTCTGCCAGTAGATCGTAGGCTCTCAGCTCCAGTTCCTGAGGAATCAGTGGAGCCATGTGGTCCTTACGCAGAGCTGGTGGGTTGCCTCATGTACCTGATGACTTGCACTCGCCCAGAACTTGCATACCCTCGTAGCATCCTGGCTCGCTTTGTGGCCACAGGTAGACACCGACCACAGCACTGGTCAGCCGCTAAGAGGGTTTTGCATTATCTAGCAAGTACATCGGGCATGGGGTTAGTGCCAGGTGAACGCAGGCCAGTCGTCCTTACCGGGCACACAGACGCTTTTTTAGGCAGACGACGCTGAGACCCTTAGGTCCTCGCAGGGCTACTGCTTTAGCCTTGGTTCAGGTGCTTTTTCGTGGAGAGCTACCCGCTCCTCAAGGCACATGAAAGCAGAGTGTGTCAGACTGCGCCCTTATTAGCAGTTGGATGCAGGGTGGTGTAACCAGCGCGCTGTTCAGCAGACGTGGGGTCAGCGGGCAAAGCAGCAGGGGGGTCAGGGCAGGGGAGCGCACCGTCGATGTTGACGGCCAAGGAGTGGCCATCCTGCCGCTAACCTGTGAGGTGACGGCGGAGGTCGACGAGCCACGTGTCGAACTTGATTGGCTGACCCTCCGCGTCATTGGGCAGCATAGAGTCCGCCATCAGGAGCGAAGCAGTGGCAAAGAGGCGGTAGGCGGGAAGTAGCGGGGTGCAGTGCAGTACAGTGTGGTGCAGAGCAGTGCAATGCGGTGAAGAGCGGTGCAGTGCCGTGCAATGCGGTGCAGTGCGGTGCAGGGCGGTGCAGTGCGGTGTAGTGCGGTGCAAGGCGGTGTAGTGCGGTGCAGTGCCGTGCTGAGCGGGGCAGGGCGCGGTGCAGCGTGGTGGGGTGCGGTGCAACGCGGTGGGGTGAGGTGCAAAGCAGTGCAAGAGCCGCAGGGGCCGGCTGGGCGACGATGCCGGGCGGGCGACGGGGCCGGCAGTGCGGAACGGGCTGGCGCGGGCCGGCTACGGGACGGCGACGGGCCCGGCTACGTGACGGGGCCGGCGACAGGGGCGGGCGCGGGCGCGGGCCGGTTATGGGACGGGCGCGGGACGGGGCCGGCTACGAAACAGGCGCCGGACGGAGCCGGCTACGAGACAGGCCGGATATGGGCGCGGGCGCAGGCCGGCTATGGGACGGGCGCAGGACGGGGCCGGCTACGGGCGGGGGTGCGGGCCGACTACGGGACGGGCGGGGGCCGGCGACGGGATGGGCGCGGGCCTGCTACGGGACGGCGCGGGCCGGCTACGGGACGGGCGCGCGTCGTCTACGGGACGGGCGCGCGCCGGCTACGGGACGGGCGCGGGCCGGCTACGGAATGGGCGCTTGCCGGCTATGGGCGCGGGCGCGGGCCGGCTACGAGACGGGTGCGGGACGGGGCCGGCTACGGGACGGGCCAGCTACGGGCGCGGGTGCGGGCCGGCTGTGGGGCGGGGGGGGGAACGTGGCCAGCTACGGGCGCAGGCGCGGGCCGGCTACGGGACGGGCGCGGGACGGGGCCGGCTACGGAACGGGCGCGGGCGCGGGCCAGCTATGGGAGCGGTACAGGGCGGGCTACGGGCGTGGGCGCGAGACGGGCCGCCTAAAGGACGGGCCGGCTACGGTACGGGCGCGGGGATGGGCCGGCTATGAGACGGGCGCGAACGGGCTGGGCTACGGGCACGGGCTCGGGACGGCCGGCTAAGGGGCGCGGGACGGCTAGGGGGAACAGGCCGGCGCGGGTGGGCGGGCGGCTAGGACCTATGGCGGAAGCAGTCATGGGCGGGTGGGACCTAACCTACTCATGATACCATGTTTGAATGATAGAATGACAACAATGGGTGAGTACAAGGGAATATAACCTAGTGGGTTGTACTCTCTAAGGCACAACCCTATATAGTTTACAACAATATACTATAATATGTTTGACATGTCGTTGGTGTGCCGCCGCTCTGTTTCTGTTCATGGTAATGCGGGATGGGATTGTGCGACACGGATCGGCACGCTGCATACGTTATTACGTTGTTGGGGGCTTGCATATTTCTAGGTAACCAATATGGCAGGAATTGTGTATATTGTTTGTAATGGTACATCAACTTTTATGAATAATATCATTTGATACACCAATGGTTAACGGAACAGAAAGAATGGATGGCAAGATTGGAAAATCATTTTTATACAAATCCAAAGCAGCATCAAAATATGCATTGCAATGCATTTGAAGAAACACTTTATTGCATTCAAGACAACACCGCCCATCGTTTCCAAATGCTCGCGAGAATTGTTTCGGCAAATTTTGTCCAAGCATTCACAAAGTGTTCGAATATTAATCCGCACGGTATTTATACCCACTTGTTCGCAAAACGTTTTCAAAGCATCCGTACAGATACTTCGCGAACGTTTTGCGAGCACACATTTTTTGAGATAAGTAAAGCTGATGGGATGAACCAGCATGTCCGATATGATTGTGAGTGTCACAAAACGAGTGCATATGTGCATCAATGCTGCAGCAGAGATTGATGGGGTGTAAGATGACAGCGGAGCTGCCCCCGGCACCATGACAACCTCTAACTGCAACACTTGGCACGTAAGCAGCATGCCCCAAGCAGACACAATCCACGCCACATTAAATATGCAGCCACTCATTATGCACATGGAGATTAAGAACAGGCACAACCAAAAGCTAGACATGCAGAACTACTTATCAACCAGCACACCTCTCAAACCCCCTGTTCCACACCATCCCACTCCTCCCTCCCTCCCCGCACTCTCCCCCCCAGCCGCCCTTTTCCCTGTTTCCACCCCATCCTCCACACACCCCTATACATTTTGTAGAGCAGAAAGCAGATTTCTTCAGTCATGGTCTGCACACAGGGGTACGAGCAGAAAGAACGGAGGGAGGAAGAGCGAAGGGAGGAAGAACGGAGGGAGGAAGAGCGAAGGGAGGAAGAACGGAGGGAGGAAGAGCGGAGGGAGGAAGAACGGAGGGAGGAAGAACGGAGGGAGTAAGAACAGAGGGAGTATGAAAAGAGGGAGGAAGAACACAGGGAGAAAGAGCGGAGGGAGGAAGAAGAACAGAGGGAGGAAGAACAGAGGGAGGGAGAACAGAGGGAGAAAGAGCGGAGGGAGGAAGAACAGAGGGAGGAAGAATAGAGGGAGGAAGAACAGAGGGAGTAAGAACAGAGGGAGTAAGACCAGAGGGAGTAAGAACAGAAGGATGAAGAACAGAGGGAGGAAGAACAGAGGGAGGAAGAACAGAGGGAGCAAGAACAGAGGGAGCAAGAACAGAGGGAGAAAAGAACAGAGGGAGTAAGAACAGAGGGAGTAAGAACAGAGGGAGTAAGAACAGAGGGAGTAAGAACAAAGGGAGGAAGAACAGAGGGAGGAAGAACAGAGGGAGTAAGAACAAAGGGAGGCAGAACAGAGGGAGGAAGAACAGAGAGAGTTAGAACAGAGGCAGTAAGAACAGACGGAGTAAGGACACAGGGAGTGAGAACAGGGGGAGTAAGAACAGATGGAGGAAGAACAGAGGGAGGAAGAACAGAGGGAGGAAGAACAGAGGGAGTAAGAACAGAGGGAGCAACAACAGAGGGAGGAAGAACAGAGGGAGCAAGAACAGAGGGAGTAAGAACAGAGGGAGTAAGAACAGAGGGAGGAAGAACAGAGGGAGGAAGAACAGAGGAAGTAAGAACAGAGGGAGTGAGAACAGAGAGAGTAGGAACAAAGGGAGGAAGAAAAGAGGGAGGAAGCACAGAGGGAGAAAGAGCGGAGGGAGGAGGAACAGAGGGAGGAAGAACAGAGGGAGTAAGAACAGAGGGAGTAAGAACAGAGCGAGGAAGAACTGAAGGAGGAAGAACAGAGGGAGTAAGAACAGAGGGAGGAAGAAAAGAGGGAGGAAGAACAGAGGGAGAAAGAGCGGAGGGAGGAAGAAGAACAGAGGGAGGACGAACAGAGTGAGGAAGCACAGAGGGAGAAAGAGCGGAGGGAGGAGGAACAGAGGGAGGAAGAACAGAGGGGGTAAGAACAGAGGGAGGAAGAACAGAGGGAGCAAGAACAGAGGGAGTAAGAACAGAGGGAGTAAGAACAGAGGGAGGAAGAACAGAGGGAGGAAGAACAGAGGGAGGAAGAACAGAGGAAGTAAGAACAGAGGGAGGAGGAACATACTGAGGGAGGAAGAACAGAGGGAGGAAGAACAGAGGAAGTAAGAACAGAGGGAGGAGGAACATACTGAGGGAGGAAGAACAGAGGCAGGAAGAACAGAGGGAGTAAGAACAGAGGGAGGAAGAACAGAGGGAGTAAGAACAGAGGGAGGAAGAACAGAGGGAGTAAGAACATAGGGAGGAAGAACAGAGGGAGGAAGAACAGAGGGAGTAAGAACAGAGGGAGTGAGAACAGAGAGAGTAGGAACAAAGGGAGGAAGAACAGAGGGAGGAAGCACAGAGGGAGAAAGAGCGGAGGGAGGAGGAACAGAGGGAGGAAGAACAGAGGGAGTAAGAACAGAGGGAGTAAGAACCGAGGGAGGAAGAACAGAAGGAGGAAGAACAGAGGGAGTAAGAACAGAGGGAGGAAGAAAAGAGGGAGGAAGAACAGAGGGAGAAAAAGCGGAGGGAGGAAGAAGAACAGAGGGAGGAAGAACAGAGCGAGGAAGCACAGAGGGAAAAAGAGCGGAGGGAGGAGGAACAGAGGGAGGAAGAACAGAGGGAGTAAGAACAGAGGGAGTAAGAACAGAGGGAGTAAGAACAGAGGGAGGAAGAACAGAAGGAGGAAGAACAGAGGGAGTAAGAACAGAGGGAGGAAGAAAAGAGGGAGAAAGAATAGAGGGAGAAAGAGCGGAGGGAGGAAGAAGAACAGAGGGAGGAAGAACAGAGGGAGAAAGAGCGGAGGGAGTAAGAACAGAGGGAGTAAGAACAGAGGGAGGAAGAACAGAGGGAGGAAGAACAGAGGGGGAAAGAGCGGAGGGATGAAGAACAGAGGGAGGAAGAACAGAGGGGGTAAGAACAGAGGGAGTAAGAACATAGGGAGTAGGAACAGAGGGAGGAAGAACAGAGGGAGGAAGAACAGGAGGAAGCACAGAGGGAGAAAGTGCGGAGGGAGGAGGAACAGAGGGAGGAAGAACAGAGGGAGTAAGAACAGAGGGAGTAAGAACAGAGGGAGTAAGAACAGAGGGAGTACGAAAAGAGGGAGGAAGAACAGAGGGAGGAAGAACAGAGGGAGGAAGCACAGAGGGAGAAAGAGCGGAGGGAGGAGGAACAGAGGGAGGAAGAACAGAGGGAGTAAGAACAGAGGGAGTAAGAACAGAGGGAGTAAGAACAGAGGGAGTAAGAACAGAGGGAGTAAGAACAGAGGGAGTAAGAACAGAGGGAGTAAGAACAGAGGGAGGAAGAAAAGAGGGAGGAAGAACAGAGGGAGAAAGAGCGGAGGGAGGAAGAAAAACAGAGGGAGGAAGAACAGAGGAAGGGAGAAAGAGCGGAGGGAGTAAGAACAGAGGGAGTAAGAACGGAGGGAGTAAGAACAGAGGGAGCAAGAACAGAGGGAGGAAGTATAGAGGGAGAAAGAGCGGAAGGAGGAAGAACAGAGGGAGGAAGAACAGAGGGAGTAAGAACAGAGGGAGTAAGAACAGAGGGAGTAAGAACAGAGGGAGGAAGACCAGAGGGAGGAAGAACAGAGGGAGGAAGCACAGAGGGAGAAAGAGCGGAGGGAGGAGGAACAGAGGGAGGAAGAACAGAGGGAGTAAGAACGGAGGGAGTAAGAACAGAGGGCGTAAGAACAGAGGGAGTGAGAACAGGGGGAGTAAGAACAGAGGGAGTGAGAACAGAGGGAGGAAGCACAGAGGGAGAAAGAGCGGAGGGAGGAGGAACAGAGGGAGGAAGAACAGAGGGAGTAAGAACAGAGGGAGTAAGAACAGAGGGAGTGAGAACAGGGGGAGTAAGAACAGAGGGAGTGAGAACAGAGGGAGTGAGAACAGAGGGAGTGAGAACAGTGGGAGTGAGAACAGAGGGAGTGAGAACAGAGAAAAGGCAAGCGAAAGCAAGCAACAGCCAAGGAAAAGGCAAGTGAAAGCAAACAACAGCCGATGAAATGGTGTCGAATGGACAGAGAAGGGAGAATGGAATGGTGGCGTGCAGGGAAAGGGAAGGGTAGGGTGGAAAGGGGCGAACAGAGAGGGGAAAGAGATAGAAGCGATGAAAGTAGAGAAAGGGGGAAGAGAGCCGTGAGAGGACAAGAAAGCATAAAAACTGAAGAGAGGAGGGAAGAAGGGTTAGACGAACAAAAAAAAAGGGGGCAGAGATCAGAGGTAGGAATTAAAGAGGAATGGAACCTGGAGATGTACTCCCGACAAATATGTGTTCAGGCTGTATGTTTGTAGCGATTGTGCTTACAGCCAAGTGACTTGGTGAATTTGTTAACCGAGAATTACGACCCCAACCGAGATAAGTTGGTGACAGATAATGAAAAGCCGAGAGAGAAAATGGGGGTTGCACGGGAAAACCGAAGCGCCCATAAGATAGCAAAGCAAAAAAAAGTGTAGTGTAAGGTATACAAGAGAGAAGTAAAAGGCAGCGGAAATGGACAGACAGAGGGTGTACTAAAGAAATAAAGACTAGAGGGAAAAGGAAGAATACGAAACTCTGGAAGGTAAGGACCAGAAAAAACCAAGCAATAAAGGGACCATGCTATGTAACTACACAAGAAATCTCACGTACTAGTACTCCCTGGTGAAATGTCAGCCCGGAGAAGGAGAGAGAAGAGATGTGAAGGGAAGGAGAGAAATGAGGAGCAGGGAGGTGAGGTGCGGGTGGTGCTGAGGTGGCACGGAGATAGCGCGCGAGAGGCGCGCGGGTGGCGCGAAGAGCGGCGCGTGGCGGAAGGACAACGAGGACGCGCGACCTCGGGCCACCTTGACTATGCCACAGCTCTTGTCTCTGACCCTGCACATCCTCCGTCCGTCGAGGGTGCACCTGCCCTTGGCAGTGACGTTCTAGAGGACAAGCAGTATGAGCTAGCTTTCGTGTTCAAGGTCGCTCCCCATCTTAGCTCTATGCTGCTAGTCCCTGAGGTTGACCCAGACGCCCTTGACATCCCGACCCCTCGCACTTACGCTGAGGCGACCTCGGGACCCTGGGGCTCTCAGTGGATAGCTGTCATGGACGCAGAGATGACATCTTGGAGATCCACCGACACCTACGTTGACGCACTTCCCCCACCTGGGGTGAACGTAGTTGATGGGCAGAGGCTCTTCAAAGTGAAGCGCCCTCCTGGAGAGCCGCCGATATTCAAGGCGCGTTTCGTTGCAAGAGGCTTCAGTCAACGCGAGGGTGTTGACTTCTTTCAGTCCTTCGCCCCGACCCTGAAGATGAGTAGTCTTCAGGCCGTGCGACTCATAGCAACACAGTGTGACTACAAGCTGCGCTCCCTCCACTTCTCCACAACGTTTCTCCAGGCCCACGTAGTACACTTAGCCTCCGTTGCCAACACAGCTGATATCTGTATTAAGGCGCTTGCACCTAAATATCATCAGCGACACTGTTTGCAACTTGGTCTAGTTCCTTTAGCTCCTCACTTGCTAGGACCTTGATTGTGTACCACTTGTTTTATATATAATTCTGACCGGCCTTGTGGCTTCTCTTCCATTGGCTGGACTAGTAGTGCCGCCCTGGTTTGCTCTTGCCTTGTTTGTACCCTTCTGACTAGTCTTCAGATCCTTGTCTCAGAGGTCGGACTAGTAGTGCCACCCTGAGTTGCGTGTCTCTTGCCAAGCACTTTCCCTTATCTAGCCCAGGTGGTGTGTCAAACATATATGCATATGTTATTATAGGCTAGATAGGTGGATGCTCTCATAGAGTATAACACTAGCTCAAAACTACCCTGTATCTTCTATGCTAGTCAAATTCATTACTATGAAATTGTATCCCCTTATACTAGCCATTGCGTTATTTTGAGAGGAGGAATGTCAGGCATTTTGGGACTTGGTCAAAATTTTATGGCATGGGAGAACTGTTAGAAGGAATGTCTCTGGTTTTGGAGACTTAGCCAAATTTTTGGGTAGAAATGTCTCTAGTGTGGGGGACTTCGCCAGAAATACCAAGTTGCGAGGGGTGTGGGAGGGGTGTATCGGGCAATCAGGGACTTAGCCGGAAATTTGTGCAAGGGTCGGCCTCGGGGGGCACTTTTCCTCATCAGCGTGGCTACACTCAAGCACTCTTATAAATCAGGGCCCTAAAATTTTCTATTTTTCTCTCATACGGTAAGGGTTTGTTAAAAAAACCACTCAAATAAATAAGGGTCCAACGCGTACCCCACACTTATAGTAAGGTTCATCAGCCTATTTCACCCTGATATCGAGAGGCCTGCTATATGTTATCAGGATTCAAGAATACATAGATGGTATTGTGAACAAAGATACATACAAAATTGTAGCTCAGTTAGTTCAGCTCTTAGAGGGCACCGCTCTACTGTAGTACCCTTTGGCATTCTCCCTTAGTCAATAATTCTCTCGACCACCATAACAGGAAACTCTATCGAGTAAAATTCAACAAATACCATCATCACTAAGCATGTCATATTCGTATCCAAGTCACGTATGTCCTTTCTACCGTAATCTCCCGGATACACAGTAATCCCCCGGATATAAACACACAGGCGCTTATAGGAAATACCTTTGGAATGATGTGGTGCTTATAATCGAATAAAAAATATACGCGCAGCGCTTATAGAAAGGATTTTACGGGAAAATGTCTGAAGGTGTCGAAATGTAGCTCCAAATCTGCCGTATGATGGTAGTGTTTGAAAGGGGTATGAACTAATGAATTTGCGTGAAAATGACCAACAAACCGTCGGCCGAGAAATCCACGCTGGGATCGTTTAGTTCCAGCCAATCAAAGCCATTGCCACCGAGCGCAAATTGCGCTACAGGTTTGCGAGCGCCTTGGTTGGCTGTTAGAGAGTCTGGGGACCAACCGAGCCCAAATCGCAAGTCCTCTGCAGGTTCATTTGCTGCACAGAAACGAATCATGCAGAGGACATCGATACTAATTGCACGCGTTTCAGAGTGTTTTCTACATGATATGCAAGACGCTTATAGGAAATGCCTTTTCACAAATCGATTTTACCCTATAAGCACTCTTACGCTCTATAAGTGACAAGGCGCTAAATAAACGGCAGCTCTTATATACGTGGGATTACGGTAGGACCCTATGGACTTCCTAGATATTCCTAGATAAATTCTGAAGTGGATATAACGCGGATGGAAATTACTACGACCCTTGTGCATTTATATTACATTGTGTCGACTTTTGTATTGCATGTAGATACGTTCTACGTAGTGAGTTATAATTGTAACGTAAAAGCCCCGAATTCTTATCGCCGAAAATTTGAAGCCACGCGCTTTTTGTTTTGCAAGAGCTGATACGTCGCGATGATTGTATTACTGCCTTGACCCATGCGTGTGGTGCGAAGGTCGCATTCGGGAGGAATCATTTGTAAATTATAGAGAAAAGTCTAGCCTCGTGGGTCTTAAAAACTACAATGCCAAAAAACGGGTCCTCACTCTTGTGATAAATTCATGCTTAACCATTTATGTAAATAGTTCTAATAGTTATTATCGAGTTATAATTTAGCTAGCATCCGTAGAATGACGCCAGCAATATGCGCTTGTCTGGATGAAGACGTCAGCATGCTGTTTCAGTCACGCGAAAAGTTGCGCCCCTTTCCGTAGTGATTAGAGCGCATAGCGCAAATAGTTTGAAGCAGATATATTACTGAACATGTACTTATAGCATATATAAAAGTAGCTTGTCTCTCTTCAATTGGTAACTTGTTCTTCAGTAAATTCTGGTCAAGACTTACATGTTCTAAGACTTGCGCTGTCTTACCGTATTCCCCCGTATAAAGCACCCTAGGGTGGTAACCAAAATGCCTCTAAATTTTGAGGGGGGGTGTAATTAGCAGCTAATTTTGTATAACGCCTGGGTGTTGTGGAACATGCGTATGTGATATTGTTTTTTCTAAACAAAGTGCACTGTCGTACTCTGCTGTATTTTGTTTTACCCCTCGACATCGTGTACGGATGTGATGAAATACCAAACAGCCAATCCGTAGGAGGGATGGCACGATTTTCTTGGCGGGAAGGCGATATCAGAATAATTGAATGATAGTAAAGTGAGTGTACACACAAATATATCTAAGTTTTGTATCCTCTAAGAGGTGACTCTATACAGTCTATACAAACATGACAAATACACATGTTTGACACACCCCCTAGACTGCATAGGGGAATACCCTAAACAAGCAGCTCAGGGCGGCACTACTAGTCCAACCTCTGAGGCAAGGGTCTGAGCGACCGGTCAGAAGGAGTACAGACAAGGCAAGCACAAGAGCAGGGCGGCACTACTAGTCCAGCCACTGGGAGAGGACACAAGTCCAGTATGAGTATACATATAAAGGACAGTACAAAGTCAAGGCCCTAGCAAGTGAGAGGCTACAGGAACTAGACCAAGCTGTA